CGCGATCAGTCATCGACCCCTGCATGATACATGCAGGAAGTAACACCAACGAGAAATTACTATTATTCATAAAATGCAACCTTGAAAACAACGGTGGAAGAAGCCTAAACATTTAATTAAGACGAACCTGAAACTCTCTTACCGCGTGTTTCATAATCTCGAAATATCCTACTCGAAATACATCGATCAATCGATTCTCAAACGCAGAATACGATTGTTTTTCGATTGTTTTTTTAATTTTTGCATTACTGTATTTATTAATTATTCACTGCTTAAGGCAGCAAAAGGAGAATAAAATATAAAAAAATGTATCATTGAAATAATCATGAAAAGTATTGTAAGTAAATGTTAGATCAATGACGAATTGAAATTTATTCAGGTATGATGGAACGAGTTAAGTTCATGTTCATTCAACGTCAAATTACGTCAACCATAATAGACAGTGATACTGAAAATGATGCACTGTTGCATCAGACAAAGAAATTGAAAAATATATATATTTTAGAAGATACGAAATTGTAAAATTCTATCATTGTCATATTCTACTAGCTTGTTGTATTAAGTTCATTCTTTTCGAATAATTTTTTAAAATTAACGATTCCGATGTATTCATACTCGAAATATAATAGGAGGAAAAATTTAGTATTAATGTGAATATCAATGGAAAAATTTGATAAAATTTCCTTTGAGATACGAGTCTCTCATTATCTAATCATACTAAACACGATATGTAGTATGATTCCGAGACCACGTTTCCGTAATTTGTCTACTTGTGGCCACAAAATTGTCAATAGACACTTCCTGCGGACATTTAAGTAGCTTTCACTGCAATACCAGAACCCGCGATGAAAGAAAGTGGAATATTGCGTTACTCGTAAGACACCAATAATATATAACTCCAATAATTATAATTGTCACATCTTCAAAGTTTATTATATACTATTTCTCAGATATTAAATTTCTTAAAATTGTAAGAAAATACGAAAAAATTTTATTCGAATTACACGCTTCGAAAAAAGATCTTTTTCAAACATTAAAAGTAAATTATAACTAACATTTGATAATGACGATTAGGATTGAATGAAAGAAATTTTAAACAATTGCAAATTTCTTGAGATTTCAAGAGAATCTTGTATAGCTATCTTTAATACATTTCTTTGAATGTTCCAAGCTTAGAATTGATAGCGATCCTCTCTATATTAATAAAATTCTATACATTCTTCAGCGAAGTTCTGTATCATAAAGTCATGAAATTCGATTTATAGCATCGTAAATTCCCGAAAGTCGAGATAACCTCATCACGAGACGCAATTTACAATGCGTTGATATAAAGAGAAACTGCACTTTTTTCCCCTAGCTTACGAGTTGGATCACATAAAACTGGCTACTTTCCCAACGATGATTAAACGCAGCGATAAATCATGTCTTCATTTTTAAGATTAATTACCTTTTTTTTTTCTTAACACTCCCTTACAGTTCTTCTTTTACTCTACCCACTTATCCAATATTTATCATAATTATTCATCGTTTCAAATCTTTCTGCAATTATTCTAAATATTGAAAAACTCTTTGCAACAAATGCGAGTACATATGTTCACATTTTATTTATTTGCCACTTTAAATAATAATGAAAGTGTATCAAGACTCACTGAACGTAATGAACAAATATATTTTAGAAGAAAAAGAAGATGAGATGAAGTACACTGTTACATCCTGGTACGTATTTGTTACGTAAGAGGTTCTAATGAGGTTCTAAATCATTTCAAAATTTTACTACTGTCCTCAATGATCATTGTAAAATATTTACTTTAAACAGACAAGATAATTGTAACTAAAATCATGAATATTTTTTAGTAAAAATAAAATATGCTATTGTTCACAAGTATCAGGACATTTCGGTGAATATGAATTTTTTCCAAAATATGAATAACAGATATTAAGTATCAAAAATCAATATTAATGACAAATTCCATATTAACATATCAATAACAAACAAATTAATCATGTAACATATCAATAACAAACAAATAAAAAGTTCTTATTGGTTCGTCAATCGACTTATCAATGTGTGACTTAGTACTAATCTTTCTCAATTTAGGAAAATTTCCTCTGTCTAATTCATAACTTAGAAATTAGAATTTAGGACAGATAAAGATCTATTCAAACAAAGCTGTCCAAATACTTTTGAACAACTCTATTAAAATAATAATATAAAAAAAACATACTAGTAAGAAAGCGTCTAAGTGATTCTAAAATCACAACTCTATTAAAATAATAAAATAAAAAAACATACTGGTAAGAAAGCGTCTAAGTGATTCTAAAATAATTTGATATCCTGTTGTATTTAGTTCAGAAAGGAAAGATTGAATTTCAGATGATTTAATCTATTGTTAATTGTTGCATTTAATTCAAGCTATTAATCTTAAAAGAAATAATGTTCTTGGCCTACTTCACAGACGTTTCAAACTCCAAATTTACTAAACTTTCTACTAATACAAAGAAAACAAAGGAATGAAATAAATAAAAGCTTTATTCTAATACTAAACTTTACTCTAATTTCTTGCCAAATAATAATTTCGTTTCATGAAATTATGCTATTTTTTTCATGCCACTTTAAACCTTCTTTTATCCGCTACTGTACAACAATCCCCGTCTCAACTAACACGTCAATAATTCCAGAATAATTGCACGCACCGCGTGCACCAATAAAACTCTCGTACGGAAAATCTCCGTTAGCTGTCTGTCTCAATAAGACTTCACGGCGTTACGACAGTTCAGAAGAGTAATGGCAATTGCCATCTGAGGGCATTTTAATTAAGCAATCTCAGCCGAGTTCTCTACGACTTCTACAAAAAAAAAAAAGGAGAAGAAAAAAATACTTCGTCTACGCGCCGCTGGATCGCGTCACGTTTGGTCCAAAGAATCCTTTTCCGCGTTGCTGGCGAGCCAGCGCCAACTAAATCAACACCAACAGATTCGATCGCGAGTTCCTCCTTTGATCTGTTTGCTCTTCAAAGCACGAAGCGAGCCTCGAAATACAATTAAAAGGAGTGTCACATGTTCAAACGAAGAGAAATATTTAAGTTTGCTGCGGATCGATAGATTGGAAATTAAATTTTCACTGGATATTTCATGATATCGATCGCGCCAGACCTCCTAATGTATTATTTAAACGACAGGATCGATCGTTTGAATGCTACCCTTATTGTTGGTCGTTGGAGTCACGGAGATTTTATTATGCGAGGAAAATATGAAATCGTTCTTTTCGCGTTCTGGTCGGTCATTTGTACATTTGTACATTCGATAAGCATTTGAGATAAATGAGTAATATCGCGCGCGTATTTATAAATTTTCAAAATAAATCAACGCGAATATAAGATGGACACGAATGAAGATTAACTATGTTTGTTGAATATTCGAAACGATATTTCATATCAGACACGACGATGAACTTTTAACCATTCTGAATAATTCACGTTGTTGTTTAATTATTCTGTCCATTAATTTAATATATTACAAGACCACTTATTACTTTGAATACGAAAGAGTTCTACACGCAAGCGTTGAACCAATCGATCTGTCAATTTTGTTTCTTAAACATTTCCTGACAAAGCAAATGTTAAATAACTTAATATTAAATAGCAATCCGAGACACATGGAGCAAAGCTCTGCATACATTTGCGCAAACGGGATTGCAAAGAACAAACACTAATTGTTTATTCACGCTTCATTTGATAAATTATAACACATATAAACGAGCAAGCGTCTGATAAGCTTCCAATCCTTTTGTCTCATTTTCAGGAGAATCGTTATCGATCACAATAATATATAAAATTTATTGTGATCATAACTGCAGGACACACATAAACGAGAATTATGATTACATATAACTGCTGAATTAACATAAATGAACAAGCACTTGATAAGCTTCTAATCTCTTTGTCTCATATGAAAAAAATGATTGTCTATCACGAAATCTACTGTGGACATAACTACAGAGGAGATCAACCACAAAAAAAAAAAAAAAAAAAAAAACACTGAAAATCTACTATACTTTTTCTAATCTCTAATCTAAACGTATACTCATACGTCCCCAAGCAACAATTATAAACAGCGAAATTACTAACATCAAATGTTTCCTACGTACATATACATATACAGTAATTTTTAAATTGCACACACATCTAAATCCTAATAAGTATCCTCACATGTACCTCGACTCATTTATACCTTTCGCACGTTTGCAATTCTTTCCAAATGAAATCATTTCGGATAAAACCCACATCGGCACTCACGTACGCTCTTCGAATTGTTTTTCGAGACGACAGCCAACACGACTTATTCCGGTCGTATTCGTATGGATCAACTAAGCCTGGCAGATCTTGCAGGACGATCTTCCCGGCGGGAATGTGGAAGCTTGAACGCACCGACCACGACTGACAGCCATAAAGATCTCATGGAGAATTTCTATCGTCTCCTCAGTTCGTACTAGGCGCGCTCGGAGTGGGAGAGACCGCCTTCGTGGCATTGGTCTCGTGTGCTGTGCCTCCGTTTATTCCCCACCTTGCTTCTTTCTCAATGTTTTCTGCGCTAGCGTTACTAAAACTACTCTGACGATTTTGCATAATTAATATGTCCCTATTTCCTTTTTCCTTTTCTACTTTGCAACGATAAATACACTTTGACTGCTCCAATTTCCTGCTTCGACACGCGAATGAATAGTTTATTATCATAGATTTTTATACTGCTTATTCATTAATTTGTATATACTCTGAATAAGCACTAAGTCACTGTCAAACATCATTATCCATCAGACATTGTTTTATGTTACTCGAACAGAAGCATTACTGCACTAGGCATAGTTTTGTATTATTTGTATTACAGAAATATTAATGCTTCCTTTCTTATTGTATGTAAAATCAAGAGACCATTGTCCAAATTCTCAGTCAGATCCATATGTGCACATATATATTACAGAATAAATAAGTTCTATTACTCACCTATAGGTTCCTTTACTGCGTGGACTTTCATAGTCAATGCGACGTCTCTTATGTTCATATTGAAGAGACCCTGCAGAATGTGAACGAGCTCTCGAATGACTACGAGTGCGGTGACGTCTTCTGCTCCGTGGCATCTGAAACAAGTGTTAATGTATTATTTAGGGTTCATACATAAATATAGAAAGAAATTAATGAATGAAAATTAAATATATAGTTAGAAAAAATTATATTCATAAAATGTAATCATAGATTTTATGGTGAATGTATATAATGATATAACTTTTATTCACTATACTAATTTTTTCAATTATACTAAAACACAATAAATGTATATGATTTACTATTATGACTCAATCATTAAGTAATATAAGAAGCCATTTTTTAGTCATAGATATTTCAAAATGTTCAAGATATGAAATCGAAATACACTATTAATAAATTCTTTATATTATATACATTCTTTATTCAAATATAAAAATAACAAAACTAACTATTTCAAAAGTAGTTGTATACTGTCAGTTAAAAATATATCAAATAATTAATTTTATGTATCAAATGATTCATAGGAATCATCTAATACTATATATAAGATACATGTATATTGTCATTAATAAAACTAGAACAACGTAAGCAAAATCAATCATTATGACATGTAGCTACATTCATAAAACAAATGTAGTATATGTAATCATTGCCATCTAATTATTCAAAAAATATAACATAATAACAACAGAAATAAAACTTATAACATAACTTAAACAGAATATGACTTAAATAAAACAAGCGAAGTGAAATATAACTATAATTTTTAGATAACCTACACTTACTATTTTTCTAAGGAAATTCATAACTGACAACTTATCACAATTAATATTATATGCAGGCAGCATTAAACAGAAGAATCATAGAATCAGGCATATGCAATACAAATGAAAATATTGCACAACCTTTGGAAACATATTAGGACCAGAGCCTCGCTATTGAAATCACACTCCTGTACTTACATTAGGAAGACGAAACAGGCTCACTTGGTCCCAAATGAAACTGAAGATAGATGATATCCAGGAACGTGATGATGTTTGTGGTATGACAGTGCTTTTCGACAACGATGTGGACATCAGCTCAAAAAATTCTGGAAAATGTGGGCGCTTGCATCGTAAAAGTATACTAAGCACTATAAGAGAAACAGCCCACTCCAAATAGATAAGTAAATATACCTATGATCTTTGAACAAGTTTACTGAAAGTACTTATGTATAGAAAGAATCCTATGCGAAATTCAGGAGAGATTCATTTCTCATGTGAATCAAAAATCCCGCCAAAATTGTTTGAGCAGACGTTACATAGAAAATATCGAAGAGAAAACGATTAGAACGATGATACGGTGTGCACGCTAGTAAATGTGACGAAGAATAAGAAAATGAAATGAAAATGAAGAAACGAGAACGCGTGGGCACGCTCATCAGCAAAATCAATGCCAATGAAATATCCGCTTGTCGTGATGAAACGTCGAGCTTAAACGCCAATATCCTCAAAGAATAGATCGTGCATTGTGATGATATACAATGCATACATATTTAGTAAACGTGGTGAAGTGAAAGCGATAAGATTTACAAGTAGAAAGACGAACCGCAAAGCATACGCCATAAGGGAACTTTCATGAAACGGCGGCCATCTTGAAGGCACAAAGCATCAAGTACCAGTGAACGCAACACATGCACAATTTCTGCTGAACATTTTCAATAATCCGAGTTTAACATACCGCAATGATATTTGTAACAAGAAAACTTACGTTTAAGGGATAAATCAAGCCCAGTTGGTCCCAAAATATACTCGCAAACACAAAATATTCAAAGAGCGAAATGATGTGCTACGTACAATACTGTTGTGTGTGACAACGATGTGGACATCGGATCGATGCGATTGGCGAATGGCATTCGACTACGTTCGTGCAGGATCGGAGACCCGACCGTCCACGAACTGAAACGATTATGCACGAACGAACCTTCACTAACCCCCACGTATGTGCTTCCGGCAGATACGAAAAGACAGAGCATATGTGATTTATACCGGCATCTACATTCTAAAGACAATAAGGAAAATTCATTGAAAATGTATTTTCCAGTAAAAAGAAAATATTCCCGAGTTTGACACCAATGTAGCATATTTCAATAATACACTGTTTTAATTTGTGTATATCGTGCAAACATCATGTATTTTGTACAATTTTTCATAATTATTTCATTATGTCAAGTAGTTTAATTATAACCCTAAATAAATCGAACACGGCACTGTTATTTTGTCTTTAAATTTTAATTAAACATTCAAGAAACGATATTGAAAGAAAATTGCATAGTTTAATATATGTGAATGGTAAATAAAAGCTTTAACTAATATTATACTATTATTATTATTGCACCATAATAGTAAAATTAAATATTTACAGCGCAAATAATATCGTAAGGAAAAAATAAAATACTTTCGGTAAAAAATGAACGATGTTTGTAGCATGTACGATAAATATGTACATCCGATAACCTCGTTTGCAAGTGGAACGAAGGAAATATACATTGTACAAAAATATATACCAAATACACGTAAAAATTATATTCAATGTTGATCTATAATGCAAATATTACTAGTACAATATAAAATTAGTATTTCTATTCGAAATATACATTGGAAAACAATTTGGCCTTTGCTTTAGAATATCAATCTAGCATGTTGCGCTCATTTTATTAAAGAAACTTTACATACCTGTCCCCAAATTAGATTAGTAATTACTCGCACAATACGACACTTTATCAAAGTCATTAAATTCCAAAACATAATCAAATTTCACACGAGTATAAGCGAGATCATAATATCCACAAAGTTCTGTGATAATCGTATAAATTCTTAGTGACTAGTTGACCTCTGTATATTGTCGTAGGTGGCACCACACCCAAGTACACTCAAAAGGGTGTACTACTTACATCATTATCGATGAACGATTTATGTAGGCAAATGATGTGCCTACGTAAGATAAGTAGAAGAACTGCCGCGAAAATTGAAAATAAACGGATAGGCAAATATTTTAAGAAGAAACTTAAAGATGAATAAACTTACCTCTGTCGTTGGATCAATCGGGACGAGTTTAGAGTTATTCTGGGCGTAACATCTCATCACTGCAGAAGGGATTAATTTCGCTGCGATTGTCCATAAGTCTCTGTACGAACGCTGCAACCATTTCGATTACTATTGTAAACACTGATCTCTGTACGTATTCACACGTTTAGAATTCGAAACATTGAATGTAAACTCACTGGACTACGCACAAAGAAAATGAAACAAAAAGAAAAGAATCGACGTTGTATCGTGTACTACATTTTGTGACCATCGAGGGTACACTGAGCCCTTTGGCACAAGGGAACTTCGATTCGATGAGGGGACGTCGATAACTCGATGTGATTGTGATTACCCCATGCATAGGGCCACGTGACGACTGGACCTGCGCCAATCGTGTTACAGAGGAGGGAAAAATCACGATGGGTGAATTATAATGGGGTTAATGATAATACATGACGTGAACTACAATTTTGATCTTCTACACGTGACATACTTTAAATGACATACCTGTCGTCCACGATAAAGAGAACTATGATTGCTTTGACCCCTTAGTACGCTATTTAAGACAGACGTGCTTCTCGTGGCGAAACGATACAATAAACACTGTACCAAACTTGCACCCATTTTATCCAGCTTACTGGATGTGTGCTTGCACGATTCAGGTAACGTATTTTATAGCGTATAGCGCTTGCGCGACTGACCCTAGTCACGAAACGAAATCGACTTTACGTTTTGATCGTAAACAAAGAATAAAGACTACAGCTGCTTGATCATTCTCTACGTGTAACAACACGTTCGTAGATGAAGTAGTTACGAAGGGGCAGTTGTATCGCATACAGCAAATGAAATGGAACGTGATTCACAAATTAATTATATAAGCTTACAAGTTGGAAACTGTCCATTGATTCAACTCGAGTGTCTCGGTCTTTGTCTCTTTTTCTTTTTTTTTTTCTTTTTTTTCTACGGCTGCAGCCGCAGCAGGCAGATCGCGTGAAATTCGCGTTCACGTGTCGGGTCTTGTTTCCTGTTTCCCTTAAAAGACAACGAATGACGTTTCACAAGAAAAAAAGCAATCACTCCGAAACAATCTAGCGTCAATGAGTATCGCACTGCCGTTTTCGATTTACACGGCATTCAGACTGCGTATAATATTGGCCCTAAATCAAAATTAGATCGCGTTTCTTATCCGAAGCACTATCTAATGAACTAAATATATTGCTCATCATTTATTTTCCTAAACTCCGATTTGGAAAGCAAATATTCATCTTCGTATACAATAAATTGACAGTGATAATACGAAATGCTTCATTTTGACAGTTAAAATGGAAAAATAAATTACATGGATTCTTTGAAACGATACGGATTTATTAAATTTCACCAACGAAATAAATCACTAATCTAATAATATCAAGTATTTGTATAAATCAATATTTTAATTTTCCGAGAATGATTTACTATATTCACGAAGTTTATATGGAGATGGTCAAATGGATCGAATCGAAGGTTATCGAATTCATCAATAAAATAATGAAAAAAGTAGTCTGTCCTTTTAATTAACCTCTCCTATAAATATCAAGACTCCCGTATTTCTTAAATAATCCGGAGTTATAAAAAGTAAAGTGAACAGTCAAATAAAGGAGCAATTCGATAAAGAAACTTCTAAAAAATCTAAAGTATATAATCTGCAGTTCCTCCTGTGACAGAATTATCATTCTTATGTCCAGAAAGTAAGTGTATCTGTTTTTTTTTTTTAATTTAGTTTTAGCACTTACACGTAGAATAAAAATTACCAAAATTTTAATAGAAAAAACTTCTTGACAAAGATCTTTCAGGTGAATGAAATTGGAGAAAATTTTTGGAAGATCAGAAACATCAAAATTATAAATTTCTTAGAATTGGACATCTACCCTTTTGAAAATTTCTCTGACTAAAGAATGAGATTAAGAATGAGATTCATTAATCGTTCTTCATCTGAAATCTCATTTCAAAACAATAAACTATAAACTCATCTCCGCGTGTTCCACCTTAAAAATAATCCTCACAGAGCTTAGTCTTCCTATACATTCATGACACGTGGAATGTCTAAAAGCGGTCCTGCGAATTAGGCGACTGTCTCCGGTTTGCGTTTCTGGGTTAAATCGGCGACCAAGCCCGCGGAAACTGGTCGCGTGCATTCGAGGGGTGCGTTCTCTCTAGCAATGAAAAGGATCGATGCGGTCTCCGTGGTAACGGCACCGTCAGAGAGGCCGGAATTACGGATGGTGGTGGATGGACAGCATCGAGTACTCAACTGATGCAGTAACGACACCACCGTCGCTGACGATTGAGATACTTGCCTCCCGGCGGTGGAACACTGTCCCGCGTGTGCGTGCGTGCTTTGAACATTCCTCACGAACATTCTGTCTGCACGACGTCGCTTCGAGACGATCATCATGCGGAGGTGGCAGATCCTCCGCTTCAGGACACTAGTGACACGAAATTGTTCGATCGCCAGGATGACGATCAGGGACAAATGCACGAGAAACCATCGCGAGAAGAGAGGCCAAAGATTCATCTTCTCCGATGGAGCGACATGCCGCAACATTTGCAGTTCAATCCTCACATCCTCACTGGTTACAGGCCGCTCATGACCATTGGACAGTGTCTTCGTAGTCTGTTCTACATCCACAATGAGACTGTCAATATCATGACACATGGTGAGTTCATACAGTTTGGAATCCAGAGTTTAGAGAATGGGAGTTCTTTAGGAAGATTCCTGTCATGGTAGATGATGGAATGTTGTTGAAAGGATTGGCAGATCTAAAATGATGAATGAATATCTTTTGAAGAACGTTATTGAAAGGATTGAATGATCTAAATATTTTTCTGGATATCTTACATTTTTTTTCATTAGATGATTGTATTTGTTAAATGATTATAAAAATATGGTATAAAAGCAAACATGGTATATTAAGCACCATGGTATAGGAGTTACATTCCTGTGTCTTTATGTGCTTTCTAAAATTATTTTGTTTCCTTTCAGAATTAATCAGAATTCCTTTGACAAGATTAACATAATATCGATAAGATTAGTATTGATTTTTATTGAGATAGAAACGTATGTATTTCGATTGTACTACTGTAATTCTAGTTATCGTTATAGTACGTAATATAATTATTTTGTAGTTAATTTTAGAATATGACATTGCACTAATTTTAAATTATTTATTTAAATTATTATGATAATTATTGCTACATAGATTGTAAATTATTATAATTTATTACAATAAATGTAAAATACCTAAATAATTTTGAAATAAGTATAAAATAATATTTAGTTCCATGAGTTTATAAATATCTTTAAATAGTCAAAAAATTATTTTCTAAAAAGATCAAAATTATTTAATATGAAAATTTCTACGTATCGATTTTTCAAGCATAATCACTTTAAACGTGGTGCGAAAGGGAGAGTATGTAGCTGTCGTGATTCAATAAAGTAGAAAACTGGATTACCCTTGAGCTAAGCGATTTCAAGGTCAACTTATGCGAAAAATCATTATATTCTCAGTGGCACACTGCGAGATCGAAGCCATATCTTATGCTTTCAGGATCTATTCGTGACATTAATAACAGTAATCTCATATTTCGAAGAAAAATTCATAAGAAATTCCTGAATATTCATGTGCATAGTTTGTATTAATTTTTAACGATCCAATCGAATTTTAACAATTCATGAAAACAATCTATTATGTATTACGTATATTATAGCACCATGCGAAAAATTTCTAAAAAGAAAATGTCATGTTACGTCAATCATATTCAATCAACAAAGAGTTTATTAATAACTAGAGAATAATGGGCACAAAAGAGATTATATGTACATAGGTATGTAGAGGTAAACACGAATATCACATGAAAGCATCTGTTTAATGAACTATTCGTTAAAAATGAACATTGTTCACTGATGCACGAGATATTTTACTCCATAATTAAGAGTTAGCAGCAACATTTTATACTACTACTATAATGAAGAATAGAGTAATAGATATTACAAACAAGCATATATTATGTACTAATATTAGATCAAATATTAGATTTTTACTTGTACAATAGGAAAACAAAAATATTGTTAAAATTATTCTTAAATAAATATTCATCTATGACAAGAAATGATCATTTGTCTATAATCTTTAAAACCTACAATTTACACTTTTTAATTGCAATGATTTGAAGATTCTAGTACAAAAAGTAAAAAAATAAAATTTTTATTAATTTTGGTATCTTTCCGTAATAAATTAATTCTTAATTTATAAGTATATGGAAGAATAAAAAAATAATAATCTTACTTACAAAAATTCTACTCCTTTACATTACTTTAGTAATGTTTAATGTCTTACTGTCTTAATATCCCACAATGCTGTTATTGTGATATCCTGATATGCTTCCTACATTGGACGTTTCATTTCAATAACTTTTTAAAGACACTTTTTTTAAGTACATCTTAGACTTTTAATAATTTATGACTTTTAACAACTTATGTTGCAGGATTTGCCATCCTGTACATGTTGTTGACGATTCCACAACTTCTTCCATGGAATACTAAAGGTATTCTCGTAGCAATTTTATGCTGGTGCCATTTAATTGGCGCTGTTAGTCCATGGATCGGATCCTTTATTTACCACCTGTTTATGAATTTAAACTACGACGAAATCTTTTATCGAACGCTATTGAAATTAGATATGATCGGTATATGGCTGTGTCAAAGTTTTGGTAATTATTCTAAATTATTATTACACTGTAATAATCAGAGGGTCATTGATAATAGCTTTGATAATACTTAAATTTTTTCTAATCGTAGGAGCAATACCTATGATGGCTGCAACAGTTCACTGTCTACCTGACATTTACTGGTACTGCTGCATGTTTATTTATTGTTCTCTCAGCCTCTGGGGTCTTCTTAAGGTAATTATAATTCGTCTATTACAGATTTTTCAATTTTTATCTTCAGCTTTTAAACACTTCAAATGTATGTCACAGGCAATGATTGCGCGATCTCCTTGGGAAAGAAGACTATGTTTTGCACCTCCTTTTCTTATGAGAATGCTGGTGATGACTCTACGATGTTTCGGTATTGGCGGTGGTTCTCCTGACGCTTTACTTCACATTGTACTACAAGTAAATATTATCATATACTTCAGTTTCATTTCCTGTAATTAGTATAATACCGTTCATATTTTAATTGCATGTAGAATACTTGATAATAAAATAAGAAAAGAGATGATAATATGAACCATTTGTTTATTTTAGAAAAAATTTATCTCAGATAAAAAATCGTCAAATTTAAATAAGTCAATGTAATGTTATATATTAATTTAATAAATAATATTATATATTAATTTTTAGAATGATATAAAACTAAAACTATTGAAAGAAAAAATAATTTATTCTAATATATTAAAACATTTTTATCCAAAAAGTAACTAAATATTCAATAATAATGAATAAGGAATATTCAGTAATTCAATAAATTTTATTCATTAAAAAAATAACTAAATATTTATAAATCTATGTCATATTACCATTTTTCACCTGTAAGTGATAAGTCATATAACAGAGGGTTAATAAATGTTGTAAAAGAATCACCAAATTATTAATAATTATTAATAACAATAAATATATCTTTTTTTTCAGGACTTCATAGCGGTTGTAGGAGCAATAATAGGCGCCTTGCGTATTCCTGAAAAATGGATACCGGGAAAATTAGATCTAATACTGAATTCTCACAATTTAATGCACGTACTGGTTGTGCTAGCAGTTTGTTCGATGCACGCTGCAACTCTGCAAGATCTTGCTTGGATGACCGGCTCGTCCGCGTGTAATGAAACGATCCTCGTTCAAGTGAAACACGATGAACTGTGATCGATTGTTGTCGGTGAAAATCTTTCAATGATGTCTGTGATAAATCGAGCCTACGCCAAACGCTGGTTACTTTGTGTAGGTACTCACTGTGTTTGATCGTTGACCACTTTTTAAATATACAAAGAGAGATACGTATACGTACCAAAATCTAATGCATAATAAAGAAAAGAAATTTAATAAAAAGAAAGTACGTGAAACAGTTGAAGTACAAGCGCGAGTACAAAAATTAATTTCTCATATCTCCGAGAATAATATAAATAAACAATGTCTAGAAATTTATCAATTTAATCATTCAATTCGAATATCTGGAATAATTTTATCCTTTCTTTCAAATAAAATGATTCAACTATAATAAGCACATCAAAAATACGTTTATTATTGTAATTATAAGAGTTCAAGATCTGTAATAATTTACAAGACGTGTTCCCGAGCATTCGTTCCTTTGATTCGACATATCATGTCGTAATGTTAATACCATTCGTCTAAGCGAATAAAACTGTTCCAAAATATCAATCGGAATTCTTTTAGTTTCACAGAGATTTTAACTATTCAGACATAAATTCATCATTCATATAAAGATGTCGGGAATAAAGGATATACAATCGGTTCATTTACATTCGAAATTACACACACAGGTGTAAATTAACCTACTACATCCGCAGTCAGTAGGTCTTACGATTAAAAAATAAACAGTATAAATTTAATTGATATATATTAATCGTATTTCAGTTTCTTCCATATATGTACTTCCATATATTGAATATATATGTTTATGACACGAAGTTCTATGTAAAATTCACAAGGAGCAGAGCCGCAAGAATTTTGAGAAATTTAAATTTTATCTAAGAAAAAAATTATCGGTAGGTAATGCGTGCTAGATAAATATATTTTTAATCTATTATATCGCGCATAAATATGTCCTTGCGGATCTGATCGTCGATATCAATTGTATGCTTCAATAGCTAACAGTCTGATTGAAATTATTGATATATTCTATTGCTTTGGAATTGTTTATCTTTGATCCTATTTCTATTGGAAATTTCATAAATAATAAATAAATAAAAATATGGAAACAATATTCTAAAATAAAAGCACCTATATGGAAATCATACAAAGCACCATACAAGTGCATAACAAACAATATATTAAATCTATGAATCGTTCAATATGTTACTCATGTGACAATTAGTGTAGTTGGTAGAATTTAAGAGAAAACTGTAACTTAGAATTGTACAGTAGGTTAATAAAAATTACTTAAGAAATATTTTGATAATAAATTAAGAATAAAGTATCTTTTTCATTACGACTCGTTTATAGTACATTTTTATAAGCAGAAGAATGTAACATTAACGTACGTGTTCGCGATGTACACGATTTAACAATCATTCAAAGAATATAGTCTTCTCTTAAATTTCAGTTCTATTATGTATTCTGCACTGCACGAGAATAATTTTGTTCAGTTATAATTATTGTAGAGGAGCTTCACTTTCTTGAGTATAACTTTTAACTCTGCTAAATTTAAGCGATGGATATCGCCCTCCAATAGCCGATACTCTCCATTCTCTTACAGATGGTTCCTTTAAGCACATTTTTGCTTCATGTCCATTTCTGTATTTTGTGAATATAGTATAACTCAGCCATTTCAATTGCGAATTTAACCGTCTGTGATGATCCTGAATTTCAAATTCCTAAAAACAACAAATGCAGTTTAATTATTTATCCTATTATGATTTATAAATTAATTATTTTAATATAATTTAAAATGATATTTACAATATGAAATGTTTGTTCTCCGCTGTCATGCATAGTCTCCTTTTTCTTCTTTCTATACGTATTAACTCCTTTTATTTCTTGTTTCTTGAGTATCAGAATAACGCAATTATCGTGCAATCTATAGTGGCCAATAAGAACCGATGGATTCCGTGGTGTGCGATATTTTAAAGAATTTACACAACTTTGGGCTTCATCAGTCGAAGTTAGCATCAAAACTTTTCCTTCGGGAAAAAATCTGTTTATCAAAAAAATATAGAATTAGTCATTAATTTCTTTAGAGTAGAATAAAAATCAATTTTTTTATAATAAATTTGTTTATTGGTTTAATTAAATTGTATTATCACATACCTCAGGTACCTGAAGTATTCTACCAGATGCCAAGGTCTATAAAATCGATCTTGGAAACTATTCTCACCATCACGAATGTAACTGGTTTTACTAATATAACATCCATTATATCTTAGTCTAGGCCGTTGTATGTACATATCTCTCCACGATTGATATTTTGGAATATAGGTACCACAATTTACTCCCCATACTCTATACAATGTGATCATTCAATTAATACCAAGATCCAGTAAGGGATTTCTTTTGACCTACCTAATACAGGCAAGTCTCCATATTTCTGTATCTCTTGCAGCTATGTAAAATCCACGGCATACTCTGGAGAACATTTCAAGAGACCTGAAGTCAAGCTCTGAAGATACAACCCATCTTAGGATATAAAGTACTATTTCCATAGGTAAAGCAGAAATATGTGTTGTCTGAAATAAGGAATGCCCTGAAATATTTACCATGATGTTCCACAACAACAATATAGATTATTCTACAATTCTAGGTACAAGTACTTACAGTTTGCTCAAACTTGGGGAAACAAACGCATTTATTTTGATTTACAATTTTGCATAATTTAACAAACAAATCACTTTCTTCTTCATCTTCATCATTACGTTTAACATTGTCATCAATATTGTTTATGTCGTTATTAAATCCCTCGTGACTATCATCACTTGACTTTAGTTTAGTTGATTCATATAAACGAAATTCAATATCAGGAACTAATAGCACAGCACGTTTGTAAAATTGAATTGCCTCATAGAACTTTCTTCTTTCTTCATATTCAATTCCTTTTAAGAACAAACTTTTTGCCTGAAAAATTTATATATGTGTATATATATATATATACGTATATATGAGGTCTTATAAATTATTATACCTTGCTTTCAATGGAGTCTTCATCATTAGAAACATCAACTTTAACTGCTTTCGCAGATTGCATCTTGGATTGATCCCTCTTAGGTGATATTTCTAATTCACGTTGCCATTGTTCTCTGAAGGATGTCAGAGCGTCCTCGATGTTCGTTTCCGAGAAAGAAGACCCTTCTTGATCGTCTCCACCGTCATCTGACTCGCTAGAATCACTGGTATGGCTCTATTGATATTACAATTAAATACTTATAAATTGTCTAATCATCTGTTGCAATCGTATGTCAATGACAAAAATAAGAAAAAAATTAGCTGTGTCAATTACTTGGCTGCCTTATTATGAACGATTTTCGAAATGACGTTTTATTTTTCTGCTCCATTTGAGGTTATATTGACGTAAGTAACTTCTTATACGGTAACAATGAAAGGACAGTCATTACTTTTGATATATTACGTACCATGTCTCCGTCTGTTTTGATTTCCACGATGTTATTTCTTCAACGCTTGAACTCTCGGTCAGAAAAGCGTACAACACAGCGAAAGCACAACCTCGCCAACAAGACCGCCGCCATGGTTCTCGCCTTTCTGCTGTCCAACTCAAAGGTCATACCGATAGCTATAGGTATTACACATTTTCAGCTGATGCAATCCAGTTTGAATTCGCACTATTTCGAAAAAACGACGACTTTTTCAAAGATTCTGGAGACATATGTTACGAAGAATTGTAACGTCGAGATTACATAATCCAGTTTTTCGTGGCAAGTATTTTACATCAGCATTAACGTAAAGAATTTTTTTAAAATAATTATGAATATTGAAATGCGCATGTGAACAGTTTAAAACTTAACAGTTTAAGTACTTGTTAATTTAAGGTTAGGCACTTAAGAAATTATATTTATGCTTTAAATTGTGGATATATTATTGTATAAAAAATATTTCAGTGTACTTTTGAAGATATATTTGTATATATATATATATATATATATACACACGTACATCTACATTCGTATATATGTATTTATATAATATATATTTAATAATATATTGGTAAATTCAAGAATATTTGAACATTATATTCACAAGAATATTGTTGATTTTAATATTTTATGAATTAATTTCAATTGTACGAATCATTGAATCGGAAAAACATTCAAAATACTTCGAATAAATTAAAGAATTTGAAAATTCACCAAAAATAAGTGTTACACGCAAATGTTATTACAACGTTACAATAGAAATATTAAATATTGTTTATCAAATATATCACATACAAATTACAGTATTATATTTACAGTAATATCTTATAAATGAAATATACTCACTGACCATTAATTAATTGAAGTATCTATTTCGAATGAATTCGAAGATTCGAAAATTCACGCAATTCGTAAATTTTCACTTTCTTCAGTGCAGATACCGGAAGTCGGAACTGAACAGTAGTCGAAATGAACAGTAAGAACGTAACGTTATCGACGACCGCGAGATGCGTCGATATTTGGAAAATGGCGGAGGAAGTGATTCGGAATTCAACTCGTTTCATACCGGATCGTTCTATACACGTGTATCAACATCGTGGACCCCTCCTCTTCCACGAAACTATCACTACCTGAAGATCATCTTCCCGAGTAAAAGCCGCGTGCTAACCGAGTATTGGCACAGACAGCATCATGAGCTTGGTGAGTACAAAACCACTCATTCACTGTATACCTTTCTTTCAATAAGTTTTCTCTGCTTTTTAATTCGTCGTTTTGTTTAATTTGTCGTTTCTAATTCCCTTTATCTCAGTTTTGTGTTTAATCTTTCTTTTTTTCTAATTTTTCTTTTCGACGACGATGGACAGGTCTCGTGTCGTGCAAAATCAAGTGAAATCAAAATTGCATTTGTATTTTCATTCAGTGAAAAGTGTTGATCTCGAAAGGGCAAGTGGACAAAAGACGTCTGAGAAATTTTACTCGATTGTGTGCAGAGAAGAAAGTTCCTACGTAGTTTTCCTTTATTTAATGAATTATTATAATTGTCAAAGATGTTCGATACTTGTCTCACGAAACGTACGTGTTGCGTTCGCGGAATTTCGATCGAAGATCAATCCGATTGATCATCGTGTCAATACAAATGTTGAGGGAAAAGTTTCATTGTTGCGGGACTTTTTTTTAAATAATTAAAAATGAATTCTTCGATGATTTCAAACAAATTGAATAATTTTTATAAGGAGACTAACGAGAGTCAAGAACAAGCTTGATATTTGTTTTACAAAACACGTATTGCATTCGAGGATTAATCTGTCCTGCTTTTTCAAAAGTTTTATCATCGAGAAATTTTTTAATAATTAAAAATGAATTTTTATGTAAATTAAGTAATTCTTATAAGGAGAGTAACGTGTGAAGAAGGAAAAAGTTGGACTTGTTTTAAATTACCCAGGATTCATAAGAGTAAGTTTCATTTTCTTTTCACTGTAATTATAGTTAAAAAAAACAATTTCTGTGTTACGATGCGTGCCGTATAAATACAGCCGATGCAATGGCAATCGAAAGTTACCTACACCGTGCGACTCAATGCTTGGAAAAATTCAGATTTCTAGCTAGAAGAAGTTCCTGATGAGCATTCTGTGTACAGGCTACTTTCTTCTCTCCTCTGTTTATACGGTCTGCGATTCAAATATTTCCAGTACACACGCTTGACATTTCCTTTCGTACCGGTGTTTAATTCAACATCACTCTCGTATACGATATTAATACTCTTTTCTTCCGTTACTTTCGTTGGAAAAACCTTTTATGGAATCTATTTATTTCTAATTATAGAGATTGATGCACAAAAAGAAGTCCTGCACTTTTATTTCTCATAGTTGTTTTATTTATTTCAATTTTTACCTTAATGTCTGGCATTTTCCAACATTAAATTACTAAATTTTATAATCACTTCTATTATTTTAGGAAATATAGGAATAATAATAATTATTATTTTCTACATACTTAATACTTTAACAATTTAATTACAAAGTAATTGTTTTGTTTATTATAATTTTGTAATAAAGTAAAAGTAAAATCAAAGCATATTCTTGGAATAGAATCAAAAAGAATTTTATTGTTAATACCAGAGCTGCTAAATCATATTCATCTGTAGAGTATAAATTTAGATTTTCCAAAAATCCACGTTTCATTAATCCACGTATTTTGTAATTACATTTTAAATATTCTATATTTTGAGTTCGCATTTATTAAATTATACTTTTTCGAGAAGAAGAAGAAGAAGAAGAGAATAAGCGTCTGTATTTTATTTGTCATACTTTCTACTCAATTTGCATTTCTCCTCGTCATTCGTACTCGTAAAACCATTCGGTGTGTGAAATTAATTTACAAATTACTAGATAAAGGCTGTTAATTTCTATTCTATATTTGCATACATATCTGTTCGAACTGTCTTTCAATTTCTCGTTAACTTTTAGTTTCACTGTTGAACCAGGCACACGTTTCTATCGCGAAGAACTTTCTTTCGATCATCACGCCGCTTTCCTCCAACTTTTTCCTTCTTGACACGTTATTCTCCTTGCGATCATTTAAAAATTCATCGACAATGAAACTTTTCCTCCCAAAATCCTCTCGTTTTCTCAAAATTTAATCATTTATGGAGGAGAAAGAATGATTAAGCAGAGCAGATTATTCTTCGACTGAAATTTTATGAATGTACATGCGTGTTTCGTCAATTTGAACAACCTATTTATTATGTGGTACGAAAGCGATTAATAGAAATTAGAAATTGATTTCACGCAACTGTTGCTAACTGATGTATAACACGCGAGTGAACCGCGAATTCGAGACGAATATCGTTTCGTGAAAAATGTTGGCGAATGATCACAACTTTCGTGGAGTTAATGGTACGAGACTCGAGATATAGATACCATTCGTTTATACCCAGGTATAGTTTATACCCACGTGGAAACTTAATATCACGGTCATGGTCAGGACTTTTCTTCTATCATTTATTAGTTTCATTTCTGTTGTTTCAGGAAATAGTAAATAAATTTCATTTCTCTTGAAGACAAAATTTATGAGAAAAGGATCTAACAATAAAGTAGAATTTGTCAGAATCTATGCAGGAATCTTAAAGACAGAATCAGTATAATAAAGGAAAAGATTTTTTTTTTCTTTTTTCATTTGTTTCATAGTTCGTTAGGGATAGATTGTAGAAAAAAAATATCAGTATCCTAGCAACATGTGTTTCAAGAAAAGTAAGATTATCTAGGAGAACTTGTAGAGCAAGTAGTTTACATAATTGGAATTCATGCAATAGGAGTCTACTAGTGACTTTTCATTTAAATAATAAGAACTCATGTTTAAATAAATGAATTTAACAGGCAAGAATAAGTTACTCCATTAAGTAACACTTTTTTTACATTTTCTGAAAGTCTAGAACAGTAGAGAAAGCGTGGACATGAACAATTTTTTTATGGACAATGCAATAACATACTTGTCCATGGAGAATTAATTTGTTATAATCATTATAGAACTCTCTGTTTAAAGAATGATTCATTAAAATTAGACGGATTAAAGGGATTGTACATAGACTTGATAAACTTTCATCATAAATGAGAATATTAACATCAATTTTCATCTAAAATAATTCTTTTTCAATCTATCCTCATTCTTCATCATCACACTTACCAGTTTTACTTTTTTTGAATTAAAAACTGCCAAAGTACACGATAATATATTTTTATTTTTCAACAACGAGTCGCAAGTCAACTTTTACTCAAATTTCTTGTACGAAAGTCTGCATTCTTTCATAATATTCATTTTCACCTTCCGCGAAACGAACGACGATGGATCGTTAGCTCGTGAAAAAATATAGTCATTCACTGATCCACGCAGTTTCCAACATGTAGCCACAAGGTATCTTCTTTCACGTTTTCTCGCAGTGTAACCACCTTCTAGGAGAAAGTAATTAAATGATTTACAACGGGGATCTCGATTTGGGTGTGGATACTCTACGCGTCTCGTTTGGCGATGGGTTCGTTGAACCTTAAGCAGGTGGCATCTTTTCGATGCTCGGCCAAAAGAAAGTTTTTTCTCTTGACGCGTGACCTAATCCGAAAGGGAGATCAGCCTCCGATCGCCAACCTGGAAACTCATTGAACGATCGTTACGAAACGAATCGAAGATATATACCTTTGATATAGCAAACATTTACTAGTAATGATGTATTGTTCGAATGTTAAATAGTATTGGAAGATTTTTCAAAAGATTTTTATTCGTGGTATATCCAATTATTAGATACTTCTTTTTGCGATGTAGAATATTTGTTGTTATGGATAATAAAAGTTTACGAGTAATGGTATATTATCGATACAAATTTTTATTTGCAATAAAATTATTAGACTACAAATTTTCAATTTTGTATCTCGTAATATAGAATATTTAAAAGAAAACTATCGAAGACATTTTTACGATAATACATTTATGGTGTATTGGTTTTAATAATATTTTTATTAGATTAAAACTCGTGACATAGAATATTGTCAATAAGGAACGTTTATAATGATGTATTATTTTATAGGAAATTTTTTTTTTAAAGATTCTTCTTCCTTAATAATATTCAGCGATAAAATGATTTAACTTCAACCTTTTAAATTATATTCATAAAAATTTACATAGATATCAGTCTGCTTATAATAATATACTAACGTAATAGAGACTAAAATTCATCACAAATGACGATGCAATACACATTAGGAAGAAATACGAAAGAGAAGAGCCAAGGGCTCTAAAAACAATCATATCCGGAATTCTATCCACAAAAGTTCATCCCTCAGGTTGTAGCTGCCTGAACAGACCTGCTCGAAGTTTTGTCTCGCTCGAAATATTATTACATTATTATATTTAATTGAACGATGTTGTTCGATCGCTTTCCGTCAATCTCGTCGGTGGCACGAAATCGATAACGACGACTCCGTTCGGGTTATATGCCTCATTCGATAAATTGTCCCAAACAAGGACGTTCTTTCGTTACAAACCTGCCATCCCACGACTTTCACTCGTCGCCCGCGATACGATGTGTAGCATCGCACATTGCAAGCTAATTGCACTTTGCTTCATTCGGTCGCATCTCTTCGCCGCGCCGATCGGGCCTGTGCATTATTCAACGCCAAGGACTCGGTTGTATAATCGTTCAGCGTGGACATCGACGACATTGTCGAAACGCTGCTTTCACGCGTCCCAGGATTTCCGCGTTTCTGTCGTGTCCGATCTGCTCGATATATGAATCACTCGTTCATCGGCCTTCCCCAAACCTTCTTCACGATACGTACACAATAATGGAATAAGGCGTATCATTCTCTTGTTTGGATTCAGAGAAAAATTAGTAGTTGTAGATAGTCCTGTTTGTTTACAATTTTCTTCCGCGAATATAACTTTGCGCGAAAAGGATTCTCCTTATGAGTTGCGTGGATCTGTTTAAAATTTCATTCGCTCCAGATGGTAGAAGTATTTACAAAAATAAAAAAAAAAAGAAAAGAGAAAAAGTGAGAAAACTTTAAAATACAGTAAAGCACACAAGTTTTTATTTATACATTTCATGAAAAATCATTTAAATCTCTCTAAAAAAAAAGAATATACTCTTTATACAGCTGTAAAATATCTGACAAAATTAATTATAAATTAAGTCGTATTTGACCATATTGGTA